AGGAGAGAAATACAGCCATACAATCACATCTACCTCTCGCTGCGAACAACGAGCATAGCACAACTCTACACCCGACAAAAACAAGGAAACCACACACGACTACACACTACGTGGTTGTTTGGATAATGGAGATAAGCGATAAGATTATAGAAAATGCGTTTTCAACTGATTTCTAGGAAAACCAATTTTATCTATTATTTTGTGAATAACCGGTTTATAGAAAACTATATTTGGTAAGCTCAGCTGCTGGTTGTGGACGACGGCAACGTCTTTCATCTGGGGACTGGCCGTGAGCGCACGGCAGCAACCGCTTTCCGTCGACGACTCGCCGCGCGCGGACGACGGCATCGACCGCTTCTTCTTGACGACTCCGACGTACGCGCATGGCGGTGGCTACTTTCCCTCGCCAACACGGCACGCGCACGGCAGTGAACGCTTCCACTCACCCCGCACGGACGGCGGCATCCGCTTCCATGGACGTACAGGCCGACGGTAGAGAGCTGATGCTCAGGGTCAATTTGCATGCACGCCGGCCATCCAAGCTCCCGATGAATGTAAAATTAGCGCTAATGGATTTATTGCGAAAAAAGTGGAACTGGAAAAAATCAGTTGCGGTGGGTTTCTACGATCGTGTTTTCCCAAAAACAACTATTAGTCATTTTTCACAAAACGCAGATTCCTGGTTTTGTGGAAACCAAATTCTGCTTATCCATGTTTTTGGTGGAAAACCCAAACATAGTTTTAGTTTGTTAGGCGGTTATGTGAGTCTGCGGAAAACTAGTACTGGTAAAACTGTGTATCCAAACAAGGCCTACGGTATACAAGAGTCTACCCAAAACCGATATCCATGCCCCGTCTCGACCGATGCCGGTGATCATCGAAGAACAACAACTCCAGCTTCCTTGGAAGAGCCAGTGACGACCGTACATAGCGCCAGAGAAGAACAGTCCGGGCAGCGGTGCACGCCGGAAGAGCGCAACATAGGGTCTCTTATCTCCAAGCACGAAGCTCCCAACAGAGAAACATCGTCAGAAAAACGCCGCCATCGTGCCGATCCTACGAATCAAGGCTTTCGCCCCGGAGATGGTTGCCGATACAAGGCAACGTGGACAACGGTGCTACACTCGGCGACGCCTCCAGGAAGGGGAATGACACCCACGGGTGCCATCGACGTCGGTCCGACCAAGGCCGAACAAAATTTTCATCCGTAGCAATGCACATTTCCACGCCACCAAGCTTCCGGCCAGCCCCGGAAGATGCCTCTCACCTCCAACACCGCAGCCACTTGCAGTCGGAGCCACACATCACTGCCGAGGAAGCACGCTTCAAGCCACCACCTTCAGCACACCAGGAACCGTAGCAACCACCAATCGATGCGGGGACCAGATCCGTCGCGATGGCCTTCACCCGCACCTAGGGACTGCCACACAAAAGGACCTGGCATGCAGCATCAGCCACACTTCGATGCCAACTTCACCGAGGCATCACCGCCGGCACCTCACACGTAGGTGGTCGGGCGCCCGCTACTCGCCAGGCCCTGCCTAGCCGAGCCTCGCAGCGCCGCCGCCTCCATGGTTGCGCATGCGCTGCCGCCTCCGACGAAATCAACGCACCACCCACATCCACTCATCCGCTGCACCCCTCATGCAGATCCAAGGGAGCGCTGTCGAGCATCCCGCCGTGAACCAGCCTCCCGCAGCACCCGACCAGGAACCATCCGACGCGTCAGATCTGGCCCGAGAGCCACGGATCCGCGCAAGGGAGAGCTGCCGGGCAGCCGATCCGACACCGACCAAGGGCGCCACCACGATGCCACAGGCCGGGCGAAGTTGTGCCTAGCCGAGCAGGGCCGCGCCGCGCCACCCGGAGCAGGGCACTGTCGACCCCAGACGCAGCCAGCTCGCCCCGCACCACCCGGGGCAAGGCCGCGCCACTCCGCCCAGACGAGAGCCACATGCGCGCCGTACCTCGCCAGAGCCACCCCTGCCCGCCGCCGGCACGCGAACCACGCCGGCGTGAGGACCTCCGTGCCAGATCTGGCATCCCGCGCCGCCGGGAGCCTGGAGAGGAGGGGAGAAACCCCGCCGCCGCCGACCCGCCAGGGCTTTGCCCGGCGACGTCCCTTGGCGGTGGCGAGGGAGTGGGGAGGCGGGACGGGAGGACTAGCGGCGGCGCGATTTAGGGTTCCTCCCGGGCCGCTCGCGGGAGCGGCACGGGGGACGGGGGGAAGTACTCTACCATGTCATAGCTACTGTAGCCTATCAAACTGCCAGCGGAATCTCGAAGCCATATCCTTTTCCGTTGCTCGCTCGCTCGCACCGATGCCGCCGTCCTCGGCTCTTATCCCGGCAAAAAAAAATTCAACTGGAAGCTTCCCACCGAAAGCAACGTCGGAGACCATCCTCGCCGTTCGATCGAGGCGACGGACGGCGCGCGTCGTCCCGCGCCCCCGCGGGCCAATCACAGCCGTCTCCGCAGGATCGGACGGCCAACGCCCCCTCTGCCCCCGTCGGTCTCCGGCTCTATATAATTTTCTCTAGCCCCCTCCGCAAGTGACGTCGACACCCAATCTCATCCCACCTCCACCTCCTTCTTAACCTCCCTCATCTTCTTCCTCCGCCCGCTCCCCCGCACGCCGCAGCGACGCAATCTCACCGATCGGGCCTCGCCCCCCCTCGCTCGATCCTCGGAGGCCAGGGACCGAGGGCGGCGGCGCGCGTGCGGATTGGATTCCTTCCGAGGTCGGTTCAAATCAAGCTCCTTATTTCTCCGTCCTGCTGTTGTTCTTGTGATTTTTTGCGGGGTGTAGATTGCGTCTTCGGCCTGATTCTAGCACCGTTGTGCGCCGCGGGATTGTTTCTCGTGGTGGATTCTCGGATGTTGCAATTGGGCTGGGCTGCCTCCGTGGCTCGCGTTTGTCTAGCTTCGCTGCTGCCGCCGCCGCCTTGGCACCAGCTGCCCGGGGGTGCTTCTCCAGGAAGAAGCTGTCGGGGTGTTTTCCCCCGTCTTCTCATGGGTCAAATTAGCCGTGGTGATGTCGTGCTTCTCTAGGGAAAGGATTTATCTTGTTCATTTCCTCTGTGAAATCAGGGGGCGCAATCCTTCCGACCCTTATCGCCGTGTTTACGAATTCAGGATGCGAAACTAGTTTTCCTCGTATTGACGCCGGGGACATCATGTCTGCTCCTCCATGCTCTGTTGCTGTTGCCCACCGAAGTTAGATTTTTTGGGGTCAAACTCCTCTCTCTCGCATTGAGATTGCATACGGCGGTAGAACTTAGTAATATCTTACTTGGAGTGGGGGAAAAGAAATCCCGTGGGTATGTTCAGTAGAATGCTCAATGCCCATTGAATTGTCAAACCGTGTTCGGTTGTACAATATTGCATTATATGCAGCATCAATTCATAGCGTGCATAATAATTGTAGTGGTAGATAGCACAATTAAGCGCAGCAGATCTGTGTGCTTGGAAGCTTGTCTCTCAAGGATCACATCGGTTTCAGTTACTCTGTTGGCTAGTATCCGTTCTTGCTGCGGTATAGGAAAAAGTTGTGCTCTGGGTTTGATATATGCGTGACTTATGTAATTAAGTACGCGTGTTTAAATTAGGAAGGGATTACCGAAGTCCACTTGTGCATTATTAATAAAAAAGTATATAATAAAATTAGTAGTACTTGCACACATGGGGCCATGGTGGTTGGGATATTTCCACTGACGCTGTTGAGCAATTAATCCCCTGTTTCCCGATCCTAATACAGTAGTGTGCCATTATCTCTTGGTTAATATTCTTTTCTGTGGTCACTGGATATGTTAAATGATGATCCTTTTGGTCTACTTGTCTCCATGGAATATGCCAAGCCATTTAGCTAGTCCGTCGTTGTTGCGGTCCACATCACGATCCCCACCTGTTGGTGTTTTCCAATGATTCAATTGTGAGAGGAACCCCACAACCACATAGAAAGATCAACGTGCTACGGAAGCTTATGCCGAAGATTGGGACGGGGCATCTCATCCTCTCCACCTGCTCCTCCTTGGTTTAGTCAAATCCGCTTGTTTGGTCTTCCATGGCTAATAGCGCTGAATATTCAATTACAACAGCTGGGATCAGCTTTAATCTAGCCAACGTTGTCCAGGTCCACCATGCAAACCGTGGCTACATATTATAGAATGCAAACTGTGTTCCATGCCTTTCTTCCCGAGGTAACTCCAAGCTGCCAATCATGGCCCTTGCCTTGAACATGGGGCGGTCAAATACTGCAGCGGGACACGGTGGGCATAAGCTAGTGGTTTGGTTTCATTTTCTTAGTGATTCAGGTTTCCCAGGAAGATATGCTAGGATAGCATGTCAGTAGAACGTAAAGTGGCTTAGGGTTAGAATAACAAAGAGGATAAAGACAGAATGCAGCATCTGTAGCCCTTGTACTAATTATTACTAAAGAAATCACAGCATCCACAGCTGTTGACTCAGCCTGCTGAGAAAGATGGTGGGTTCTTCCATGGGGAGTCCATTGCTTGCAAAAAGGGCAAATGGAGTGCTTATAGTTATAGTTATTCTCTGGCACATTGACAAGGAATCCAGGGGCTTTACCTAACATCCGCTCCACTTTTCACACTTGTTAATGTGAGTGGATAGACTCCTCAGGACAGGATGATGTGGCGTGGGCCTTAATGCTGCCTGTTATCTGAACCCCTTTTGTTGTTTAGCAGGCAACTGTGTCTGTTTGCCCTTCCACTCTCGAATTTTGGGATATATATTAAGCACTGCATTCTGCTTGCTGTGTGCCTTCCAATTCCTCTTTCTTGGTGTTTATCTAGTCCTTAAACACATGGTTATAGGTGTTTTAAACGCGTTAACGGCTTCATGATTAGCCCCACTTTTCTGATGACTTCTCCTTTCCATTGCATGTATTCCTACTGTCTACTGACCTTCTATTTTATTTGATTGCAGTACCGTGAGTTCTTCGACCAGAACTGTTTGCGACAGCTAGCATTCTGATTGCTATGGAAGGTGGGGGAATGGACCAGGTTTGCATGGCTGCCATGACAAACCAACCTCCAGTGTCCGATAACAAGCCGATGAAGAACATCAGTGGGGAGATGCCTGCAACCGCAACCGCAAACGCTGGAAGCGGCTCCTTTGACTGCAACATCTGCCTCGACTTCGCTGCAGACCCAGTTGTTACCCTCTGTGGCCATCTCTACTGCTGGCCTTGCATCTACGAGTGGCTGCGACCGTCGGTGGTATCAGCCTCCGGTGCCAACAGCACTTCAGCAAGGCAGCAGTGCCCCGTGTGCAAGGCCGCGCTATCTGCTGACAGCCTCGTGCCGCTCTATGGCCGTGGTGGTAGCTCGAAGAAATCACTGGATGGCACGGCCATTCCTCGACGGCCAACAGTGCACCGGGAGAATGTTGCGCACCAGCACGCGCAAAGCAGCATCGATGATGACCGGCACCACCACAATGTGGAGCCCAGCCCTCCGCTCCGGTCACTGCGGCATGCGCACCACCACCATCCTGGTGCCACCGAATTCGACTTCGTCTACCCTCCTTCGCCAATGGGGCGTGGCCTGATCCACTCGACGGCTGGAGGAGTGCTTGGAGGGATGGCGGAGGCGGTGCTTCCGTGGGCGTTCCGCGGCCAGGTGCCGCCGAGCATGTACTACACAAGCCCCTACGCCGTTGCGGACCACACGGCGGGTCCCCGGCTGAGGAGGCAGCAGATGGAGGTGGAGAGGTCCCTGCACCAGATCTGGTTCTTCCTCTTCGTGTTTGTTGTGTTGTGTCTGCTCTTGTTCTGAAGCAAGGCTAGAGGCTCTCGTTCTGAACTGAAGAGGCGGTATACGGCTTGTGTATATATTGGAAGGCGTGATATACTGCCTCTCGAGGAAAAAGAAGGCAAGATACTAATGAATGGGTGTCACTTATATAGTGATGGGGAGAGGATAAGGAACCGTTAATGCTCTTAACGGTCTCTATCGGTAAGCATGCGTCTAAATCATGCTGATATATAGAGTTGTAATATGAAAGACTTGGAGGTGAAATGCAAATTTCATTCTTGTCTTGCCTCAGTACCAGGAAATCCATTACCTGAACCATACATATGGCCTGTTTGGTTTGCCTGCATCTGTCACTACCATGTAATGCAAATTTTCCTCTCAATCTGGATTTTCTTTCCAGAATCTGCATTGTTCTTGCATTTGATTGGCAGTTTGCCGTTACTGGATTTACGCTCATTAATCTCCCCATTCGTCGTTTGTGCAATTAATGTGTTTAACATTTATATACATTTTCTGGTCACGTTTTCAGAACATCTCAAAATGCACATTGCAGATTTGCAAATTGAATGACATGGAAGCATATCGCGCATCAGAAAAGAATTGTTTTTATGTTGAGACATTTCAATTAGTAGCCGTGCCCTACTTTATTGTATAATAGAAGTGTTTGCCCAACAGCATCTTTCTGCAGTGTGCAAGGAGAAGTCATGTGCATCGTGCATCTCTTCGGTGCCGGGCAAACAGTATTGTGGCCTCCGCCTGTCCGGTGAGAGGGCGGCAGTAGCAGCACAGTAGTAGATGCCACCTTCCATGTGCTCGGCGGTGTACTGAACTATACTGATTACATGTGTTCAAAGGAGGAACTATACTGATTATATTTGCAAACGGCGGCAAAATCTCGGAATTTTAACAGAGTAGCACTGACCAATATGCATGACAAGTGATAATCGTCCCACAAGAGACGAGGCGTCAATAGGTCAATCCATTTGCACAATAGTACGGTTACATGAGCTGCCAATTCAGTTTTTGTACCAGTCAAGAAACAGAACAGAGAAAGTAAGAACAAAGAAGAAAAGCAGGAGAAAGGTTCTACTGCTGCTGTTCCGCTGGATCGCCTGGGATAGCTCCTTGTTCCCACGCTCCACGTTGTTCGTTGCTTCCACTGCCTGAGAAAATGCATAGGATGTGCCGTAAGAGGAGAAGCAAACAGCGATTGAAAACTTATCACGAGTCATTCATAATTTATACAGACAGATCAGATAACTTTGTGTCCTTTTTCTTAAGGCAATGACTCTTTTTTTTTTGGTCCTGTTGAATTTGGCAGATTATCAAGTAATAAAGATATTGCAGATTTCCTAGATCAGCCAAAACAAAAAAGGAAAAATTCTTATTGGATGGATCCTGATGACTTCAGTTGATAAGAAACAACATATACATAATCATGTAATCCCTCTGTAAACAAACATAAGACGTCTTATATTTGTTTATAGAGGGAGTAGCTCTTACACGGACGCAAGCAAATGTTGTGCGCTCAAATGCTATTATTATCATCTCATTGTAGGATTTGTATTTTTATATGCTATTATCTGTTGTCTCTTATTATCCTACAAGAATATGCTGCGTTTTGAAAATTTTGATCCCACACGAACAACCCTAGTTTGCTATTGAAATTTGAATGGATATATCCTATGCCACCTACAATAGAATTTTCAAGAGTTCTACTATAACCAAGATTTTCCAGGAATTCGCAAAATTTTGAGAACTGATACTTTCACTAGAGATGTCTAGTCTCTTCTCTTGAATAACAACCAGATGTTGGCTTAAACTTTTGCACAGATATCATACCTGGTCGTATAAATATTGAATCTGCTGAGCTTGCTGTAGAACATGTGTTGACATAAGATGATTAAGTGCTGACATCTCTATCATCTTTGTCTCCGTTTCTTGGACAGTATCAAGAAGATTGGTCAACTCCATCTGAGCCAAGAGTTACAGGAAAGTAAATAAGCTGACTTATAACAAAGTGTATCTGAGACAACATTATTTTGTGTCAATTGCCCAGGCAGTAAAAAAACACCAATTCCCCAGTACCGTTACCAAAAGCGTGCAATTCGCCAAAAGCACAAAACACAGTATCATCAGCAGAGAGAACACACCTGGAAGGTCTAATTTGCCATTCGGTTCAGGACATTATTTCTCATTTCCTCTGTGTATCCGTTTATTTTACTTGCACCCCATTTAGCCATGTTCTAACCTATATGTTTCACCATTTTGTATTCATTTTTGTTAAATAAATTCACCAGCTGATATAACCACATATTCCAACCTACCTGAGCAATTTAACAAATTTCAACACACATGTCATTCCTTTTTAAGAAAATTCCCCAGCTGATATCACTACACATACCACAAACACGCACTATTTTAATCAACTAAAATAGCCTGGTTCGGTATTCTAGCAAACAATCTGTTTCTTTCTAATGGTGATGTTTTTGCAATGCATCTGAGCAATTGACACAACATAATGGTGTCCCATAGCAAATTTTGCCTAGTAATCCCTCCGTCCCAAAATAAGTGTCTCAAGTACATATTATATCCCATCCATATTATATTACCTGGAGAGCTCGTGTTTCATCGTCCAAGAGCTGTTCTTGAACTCTTAAGGGCGCAGTTGATACCTCCCGATCTTCAACCTTCGAGACATCAGATTTCAATACAAGGTTTGACTTGGATGGTTCAGTAGGTTTTATTTCTGGCTTCTTCTTGATCTTCTTTCTTGGCATCACCCTATTAATAGCTTCTTGAAAGCGCAGGGACCTAAGGCGATCAAATTGTGCAGTTACTGAGTGGAGACGCTCGCTCAAAATCAAAACCTGGTAAAATTATTAAACAAAACACATCTTATTGGAAGTGAGCATAAGAAAATCTATAAAGAACAAAGAGGATAGTCCAGAAAATATTACTTAATTGTAATACAAATTGGTATAGAGAAATGCTATTAAAAAATAACAGAGTGATGTATTTTCCCACATGAAGCTTTCTTGATGCATATCTGAACTAGGAAGCAGAGTTCGTTAACATTCAGTTAGCTGCTTTGACTGGACAATCTATCAAGTTATGATGCATTTGTTTTGTCCCACCAAATGATACCAACTGAAGGTATGCATATCCTTCTACAGTACTAATCAGGCATAATATACAGGGCTTATTCAGTATAATCCACCGAAATATGTGCACATATCAGCTCAGTAATGCATGTATAATGACTGCCTGGAATTTCTGAAATTACAGAGAAAATTAGCGACTATACTTAAACGAAACAGAGAGAAAGGGGAGCAATAGCATTCTTCTATATGTTAGTATCTATGTGGTTGCACACACTAAAAAGCAGTAATATCAGAGCAATGCTGTATTTAACTGTAAATATCTGGCAGTAGCTGAACAGCGGGGAGCATAATAGTCATACCACACCATGCTGGTGAGCTATCAGGTCCAACCGGGAAGTCTCATCTCTTGTGCCAAGCCATGTGTTGGCTCTTCTATTCCTCTCATCTTCAAGGATCCTGTTCTTTAGGATATCTATCTGTTCCTTGCATGCTTTTACAAAAATACCAACCTAATATATGTTCAGCAATCAGCAAAGTAAGAAATGGAGAAAAGAACTTAGCGATTACCTAAATTTACAAGAATAAACAGTCCTTACCTGTATGAATATATTGTCAACTCAATAGTCGATACAGTATACAAAGATACATACACAACCTAACAAACTGCATATATTTACAGTTTTACAACAAAGATAATAAATAATTATGCGTTGCTATGCTCTGTAACAAATTAAACCCTAGATTTCTAAAGTAATCAAGGAAGAGCTGAGAAAAAACTATAATAACAGTGCAAAAGGAAGATAAGATGACAAACCGGAACCTCAAATTTCAACTAGTAATACATATGTGGCATGTTGCAAAGCTATTGTCACAAAGAATCATCTAGCAACTAGCTCAGTTTAGAATAAATACAACAATCCTCAAACAAGGAGAAAGGGTAAATCAACAGACAATGGAGAGTAAGGTTGAAACTTACTTCATGCTCAATGTTGTCCCTCTCTTGCTCCGTGGTGCGATGCATGTCCACATAGTCCCTCCTGTGCTTCACTATAAACTTCTCGAGCTCCCTGATGCTCTCAAGCTACACCGACAGGACCCAGCAATTAGACTAGCAGCCTCCCACAATCTATCAGGACTCTAAGCTTCGGCTATTGCTTTCGGTTCCTGTTGCAGTCAAAACAGAATGGCGAAAGAGCAGAGTTCTACCGTCTTGATTGCTGCATTTGTAAACGGAGATTTGGATGACGGCTTCCGGATGATGAAAGACGACATGAGCGCGGCCAATTGCGACTGCGAAAAGAAGAAATCAATACAATGGATCGTAAATGATGAGACTGTTCTTGCGCAGGTGTGCGAGGTGTCATGTTTGGCATGTGAGCTCACCTCCGTGTAGCCATGGGAGAGCGCGGCGACGCGGACGGACTCCTTGAAGTCCTCCGTCCTGTCCCGGACCCTCGACATCGCCCAGGCAGCGGCGCCCACGGGGCTCCTCCCACCAGATCCGCGTGCGCTGAAATTCAAGAGCCGGCTAGGCGCGTCAACCCTGCACCCTCGAGCTGATAAGGTGAGCAAACCTCGTACGGGATCTGCGCCGCGGATCAGCGACGCTCGAGCGCGGCGGCGGGTCGCCGGCGCGTCGGATCGGGCGGCGAGGTGGGAGGTTTGGTCGAAGGAGAGGGAGCGAAGGAGAGGGAGACAGACAGGGGCGCGAGGAGAGGAGGAATACGTGTACAGGAGGAGTATGGCCCACCTGTCAGCGTGACACCGGTTCACTGGCAACTGGGCCCCCGTGGAAACCAGGCTATCTCGTTCTCACACTCGCCACTCCGCGAGCCGCCGATCCGTCTCGCGCTCGCCACCTCGCTCCCGCTCTCGATCGTTCGCTCCGCGACGCGGAAACGGCGAAACCCTAGGGCGGTTAGGCATGGCCAAGGACGAGAACGGCTCGGCCCCGGATGGTGCCGGCAAGGAGGAGGGCGAGGCGGCGGCGGCGGCGGCGCGCAGCCGCAGCCGCAGCAAATCCCTAGAAGCCGCCGAGGAGGAGGAGGGGCGTTCGAAGGGGAGGCGACACCGGGGCCACCATGGCAAGTCAAATAGGCGTGGCGAGGAGGAGGAGAGCGAGAGCTCCGACGAGGACTCGGGGGAGCGGCGTAAGCGGCGGAGGAAGGAGAAGGAGCGGCGGCGGCGGAGGAGGAGGAGCCGCAGCGAGAGCTCGGGGTCGGAGTCGGAGTCAGAGTCTGAGTCGTCCTACTCGGGCTCCAGCGCGGAGTCTGAAAGCGAGTCGGAGTCGGAGGAGGAGAGGCGAAGGAGGCGGCGGAGGAGGAGGAAGGAGAAGGAAGAGGAGGAGAGGAGGAGGAGGAGGAAGGAGAAGGAGAAGAGGAAGAGGAAGGAGAAGGAGGGAAAAGGATAAGAAGAAGAAGAAGCGGAAGGATGAGAAGAAGGATTTGGGGAAGAAGGCTGCAGTGACCAACTCGTGGGGCAAGTATGGCATCATCCGTGAGGTCGATATGTGGTGAGGATCTTGCTTCTTAGCTCTTTTTTTTCTTGCTTCTAGATCATCATTTCTTAGTTTTAGGTTTTCACAAGCCAAAATGTAGAATATTATGAATTAATTTCTGTCTGGTAGAATTGTATGAGACTATGTTAGTTAAGGATGAAAGTATGTCGTGTTACGGTGGTGCTGTGCTTGGCTGCACTGCCCAGCAATTTTTTTTGCATCATGTCCCAGCCTGCAGCATGCACCTTCTTTTTCGCCTTTGATGAGTGGATTCGGTGAGCCTGCAAACTAGAAACAATTTTGCACAAACCAATGAAAATCCCTGAAACTACTGATGATTGCGGACTGATCTTCTCCAGGGCTAGCTAGTATGTTGATCTATCACTGGCCGAAGTGTTATCTATCACCTATTCATCATAGATGAGCACATCTACACAGTTTGCTACTGCCGCTCATACACGCTGATATATTGCATGAATCAACAATTCATCACACCTGGAGTGCAGACTGCATAAATACAGAAAGATGTTCACAATGATTATGTTGTGAATAAAACAAAATTTTGTGTCGTTCTCACTAACCAAAAAGTTCATAATAGTAACTGATTCTTGCCGCTATATAAAATCGTAATAGTGGAGCAAAATGACAGATAAATCACTTGTTTGTTTCTCTAAGCCGTAGCTGGCTTCTTCTTCTCCAAGCTTCCTGGATTTGCCACCAGGTAGCATGCATCAGCCACAAATTAGAAAAAGAACTCAAGCAAAAGATGATCACGGAAGAAAGAAACATGCTCTTATTGGAGAGCCCTACCACCTCTATGTGAGTGCCATACACCTAGCGATGAGGCCGCACAACCATCCATGCCTGATGACGAGCCAGTGTGTTACTCGAGGACAATGTCGATGGGTGAGTAACCTAAGTCTTTGTCCAAAAGGATAATCCTGGAATTCCGTCCGTCTTCTGGATATGGACGCAAATCTTATGATATGGTGGGAATCTGTTATGATAATCATCTGTGCCTTAAACGTATCCTTATGCCTGAAAGTTGGATACTGATATGTGTGAGCAGCAGTGGCTCCATGGATGGTTGCACCTGCCACTTAACATAAGCGGCTGTCGCAAATGTCCATTTAGCTGTTCCATGTGGGTTGGGGTGGGGGGTGGGGGGTGGGGGGAGAGTGCCCATGGGTTGGCCACTGCCACTAGCAACCCTACTGGTAATTGATTTAATTATGTTTTAAGTATTTATCTTGTCAGTTGTTTTAATAGTGATATATATGAGATCTTTGAATTGTCATATGCAAACACCATTCCACGGCCAATGCGAGTCAGAAGTAGAATCATTCTGTAATCATTGATTTGATGACATCAATTGATTTAAGTGATGAATCCCTGTGACTGAGACCCTGAGTTTAGAGTGCAGACAATCAAATTAATACATTTTTTAATGTTTCAACTACTGTACTACATTCTCATGAGTTAAACCATGCAATATGTTCTGTAGGAACAAGCGACCAGAGTTCACCGCATGGTTATTAGAAGTCAAGCAGGTATATGTATTTCTATCGCTCTTTTGATGTTGTCTTTCATAGAAACATGGATAACTTATGTGCATGCAAAAAAAGGGGTCAGGGTAAACAAGGTGTATGCCACTGTTTTACATGGTGCTAGGCAAATTAATTAGCCCCAAAGGAATATTTATCTAGAAATGAGGACTAGTGTTCTTTCAGTTGAGCTTATTTATTGTCTTCAGCAAAAAGTTTCATCGTCGTGAAGTTTGTTGCTCGTTGGTCGGTGAGTGTTTGGAGCTTAAGTTACCTGACCTAAAAGTTAAGCAAAACACAATATTTGTTCTCCCTCCTTTTCTTTTGATATGCCCAATTTAGAGTTTCTTCCAATTTGTTCTGCCCTATTGGATCTTATTTTGGTTAAGCCCAATTTCTCTTATTCTAGTTCTGTTGTCACTTATCAGGTCACATAGAGCAGACAAATGTTATGTTACTTGATTGGTACTGCTCATTAGCTTAGTGTCACGCTCTCAGGCTTTTTACTCTCAATCTTGTTTAGTGTCTTTCTTGCTTATGATGTTACTGTTAATTTTAGACTTTTTGGTAATGCGCCCACAGGTTAATTTGGAGGCACTGGCTAATTGGGAAGAAAAACAAATGTTCAAGGAGTATGTTACTGTGCTGCCATGAAATTACTTGAGTTTCTGGAACTTCTAAAAAATATCACCCTGGAATTACTAGATGTTTAACATACATCTTTATGTCCATATCAGATTCATGGAAGACCACAACACAGCTACGTTTCCATCAAAAAAGTACTGCACGTTTCTTTTCATAGACTGTTAGTGTATATACTCCTATATTTACTAATGGAATTTATGTTTCTCCCCCTTTGTTCTCTTGTTAGATATTATGACTTGGATGCTTACCATCAACGGATGATGGAGAAAGAGAAAAGGAATGGTTTAAAGAATGCGGGTTCGGTAGCAGTCCGTACAGTATTTAATGATGAGGAAGTGCGACGGTATGTGGACATGCACATATTTTGGGTCTGTATACCTGCAATAACAAAGCATGGGACACCATAAAATGCTTCAGTGTAAATTACTGAAGTTTACTTTACCTGTAGACCTTTGGTATTGAACTATTAATCGACCTATGTTCCACTCATTTTGGGTAATAGAATGGTTATTAATCGACCTATGTTCCACTCATTTTGGGTAATAGAATGTTTTTTGTAACCAATTACTATGTCACAGTAACTCCAAATTGTGAGCCTGTTAAGCCATGCAATGTTCCACAGAAAGACAATTACGAAAATTTTCTGTATTAATTGGTTTCAGAGTTTATTACACCTTTTTTTATCATTGGCTTACAGTTTTCTGTAAAAAAATCATGCAGGTTAGAACTGTTGCAAGAACGTGAACGCCGAAAGGAGGAAGAAGTGACAGCTCTAAAACGCTCCATGCAAACTGGAATGGTTAGAATATTGCATTTTTTTTCTGCTCCTATTCTCATCCTTCAGTTTATCCTCTGAACTTGGAATTATCATTGACAGCATAGGTTTGACATGACAGTGCAGGCTGCCCAATTTTGTTGCATTGTTAGCATACAAGTTCTTTCATGTATCCTAGATGTTGTTTAGTCTTCCATGAATGAAACGTAGTTGTAATTCTGTCTTGGGCCCGTACTTTTACTTGGTTACTTGATGCCAAGTGGCACTAATTTATGTTCATATTTCTGTTCTGTTGGGAACATATGTACTGTTGTGGGCTTGAACCTATGAGGTTGTGACCTCAACCACTGCCATGTGCTCGGCCATTATGTGTTATAGGTGCATCTTCCTGTTTTTTTGAATCTTCCCTTGTACAATAGCTGGGAATCCCCAAGTGTTGCTTTGTAAGGTTTATCTAATCCAGGTTTTTTGTTAGGTGTATGCTACTGAACATATGACTGCAGTTGTGTTTAAATCCTGCTAGACTGTGCACTATCTTCTGATGATACGATCAGCAATGGATTATTATGCAGACACCAAACATTAGCATGGGTTTACATGAAAGTCACTTTTTGTTCTATTAGTTAACCTATTATTAATCTTGTTTTGCTCCCCATGTCAGGCTCAAGCGATGAAGCAGCAGTCCCTTCTACGCGAGGAAATGATGTTACAGTACAAGTTGGGCAATTTCGAGGTAATGACCTCATTCCAACCCTTACAAAAATTTCAGTTAGATGGAAGACGCACGCTACTTATGCCAAGCTTTTTTTCTTTATCAGGCCGCAGCTGCAATCCAGAAAAGGTTGGATCCTGATGCGCCCCCTCAATAGGCGTCTTGTGGACAGACATACCATTTTCTCAGAAGTTATTTCTCATAGACCTTCATGAGCAACATACTGTGATGTACCGCAGTTTATTTGCACAAAAAGTATATTGAGCTGGCTTGGAAAATGCTGGTACTGTACCTGTACTGTATAATTTTGAAAATTTTGCTCGTTAGATTCAACAAGTTGTGATGTATGCACCAGTTTGGTACATTGAGCTGTAAGATTTCTCGAAGTTTTTCTATTACTGTTCCATAGGCACCTCATTGTCTTTTTTTATATATATATTTGAATTCATAGGCATCTCATTGTTTGTCGCCTGGTGTGGCAACTCGTGTCAGTGACTCATGAGTTGGGGCTTTCAGTGATTCGTAGCCCGGCGCTTTAACCCGTAGGCTGTCAGCTTTTAAACTCAACTAGTATATTCATCTACGAGGGTATGCGCGGGACTCTTGGCTTTTAGTGCTGAGGCAGCATAGATTGGCTTGTTTTAACGTTGTGCTAGGTATGAAGAATATTGCAATGCAAAAAGCAACCACCTTTCTCATGCGTAAATAGAGTAAACAGGAAGTGCATTAGAGAAGCAACAGTGGCTTTTTATCATCGAAGTTTCGAGTCTTGCTTCAGAAATGGTGTAACAGTGAAAGACGCTGTGAACGCCAGATGAAATATTGTTGGCAGGTAGCCATATTTCTTTTTCTACGAAACGGACAGATAGCCATATTGATCATGGACGCGGTTGTTCTGGTCGCGAGCACACGTGCTCGTGGTATCTGGGCGGCGGGCATGTCATCGAGATGTGTAGCATTAAATTACCGAGGGAACCAGTCGATCGTTTTTTAATCGGGGGAACGGAAAATACGGTAGAGGGATATGGCGTACGCCGCGCCGGTGACGGAGCGCGTAGATCCTGCCGTGACGGGAGGTCATCAGAGCCGTGGCTCAGGACCGTGTTCTTCTCCTGACCCGTAGCTCAGGAAGTAGTTGGATTTCCGGCAGGCGGCGGTGCGCAGGCTAGTAAATGACAAGTGAGACTAAGGCGGAGCTGTCTCCCACCGCTTGCCACACTTGTTTGGATCTCCATTGACGACGGGTGAAACCCTGAGCACCGGAGATCAGTGGGGGTAGGAATACAGGGCGGCGCTATCCGTATGGAGTTCCTGATGCAGCCCATTAGGAGGTAACCCCCCTTCCCCGAATCCTGATTGCGTATTTTTCTGCTTGTGGATTTGCAAGGGTTCTGTTTCTTGATCCAAGTTTTGGCCGATGCGGGACCGCCGTGATGGTAGATGTCAATGAGAATGAACTTCCAATGAAGCCGCTGCACTACCCCGCGGTGGCGATAGGGATTGCAGAGCTACCCCCCATGGAGACAGCCAGCGCCGATAGGCAGATGTGTGTGGCGGAAGGGGGGCTCGTAGCAGCGGATGGGGATGGTGAGCCACAAGCATCTGAGCAGGCTGGACTCGCAGGTAATCTATTGGCTACTGGTGTTTGGATTGAAGACTTTTTATATGATTTTAGGTGTACTTGGAGTCGCATGAACTGACTTGCAGATCTTACAAAAAATAGGAATAGGTAGATCCTGGAGAAATTAGAATAGTTATATACAGATTTCCCCCGAAAGCTATGTGTGCTTTGGTCCTAGCCTGTTCTGAAGATACTATGACCCACTCATGATTAACAGAAAACATAGCAGTGTGGATGCTTGACTGCAAAACTGAGCTGAAACTTGTATTTACATACTTAAATGCTAAAACAAAAGGCACAACAGTGGCAGTCTGTTTTTGATTGTACACTGTTTTCAGGTGAATTATAAATTGAATTAACTGAGTTGCAGATAGGTTGGTTAGTTGTGCAAGAGATTTCACTTACAAAATTCAGAAAAATGAAACTCGTAGAGAAATTAAAATTGTTATATATAAATTAAGTCGAAACCAGTGCTAGAGCTGCTAGTAGGGACTAGATGAATAAAAAGAGGGCATAACTGTGTTTTTTTTGTGATGCTTGATTGTGATATGAACGAATAAATACCAGACTTCAGTTGGAAAAGCTTTGAAATAATCAAGCTTAATCTGGACAGAATCGTTGGGGTCATGACTGGTGAAAAAATGAAAGTAGATAACAGGTTGATTTATCATATTGTAGGGTTAGGATTGGAGCTGCTGCTCCAGGAAGGGCACCTTGCCCTGGGCGACCCAACGCTCTTGAGAAGGCAATACGGGGGTTCACTGACAAACCGGGTGACATTGTAATCGTGCTTGCACTGGGTACAAGCTTTGACACACTCGGGGAGGCCTATGATTTTTCCAATCTCTACTCGTGGGAGAAGGGATTTGGAATAAGATACAGGAAGAGTATACTGAATGTGGAGAGGACAAAATGCATGCAGGAAATTGTTTGCGGCTGTGCGGTACGCATTTGTACCCATCATGGATTAATTGTATTAATTTTGGTTTGCTCTTGGGGTTTATGGAACCTGACCCGTTTGTGCTTGTCTGGATATGGTTTTGCAGGGTAAAGCTGGGGTGGAGAACAGTAGATCGTGCCGTGACTGCCCTGCATTAATAAGGTATCTCCGCTCAAAGGCAATGGTTGGTACATAGCTGAGCATCATGAGCAACACACCCACTCGCTGTCTCCGACATATGGGCAGACAACACACTGGCTTTCCCACAAGCACATTGCTCCTCCACCATGCCCTTCCCTCAATCTCCCTAAGCCCTCATGGCATTGCCAGCACATCTCCGTTGATATGGACGACGACCCACTACCAACCGCAACGACACAAGGCTGTAGATCGGCAGCCGGTTGTTGATAGGCTATCAGAACTGGCAAGAAGTGTTCCATCTCACATTTTCGGCATCTTCGTGGTTCCTTCTCCAAGATTTGCCTCCCAGGCATCAAATCGACAGCTTTGGATTGCCGGGGCCGCGTTCGCTTGCACCTTAGTTGGATCTATGTTTGCTTGCTAGACCAGGGATCTCCACCCCTTACTTCACATATGATTCTCCTACCCTGGGGGCAGCAGTCATTCTGTCCTCTCTGTTTTCTCATGTTTTCAAAGGGGAACTTGGTTTCACCAATCTACAAGTTGGAGGAAGCTCACTGACTACCGTTCTCCTATTTTATGAAATGTCAAGCAATTCAGTGAATAGTGATCACCCCTGAAATGACTAGGCACTCCATGAGTTTTTTTTTCTGTTTTCAGAAAACCAACCTGTAGAACTAACAACATTCTTTTCTATCAGCTATATAGAGAACAGTATGGCATTCAGCCATGGAGGTGCACGCACCAAAACTGTCCCCTTTTGCAACTTCATCTCTATTGGAAATGCTAACACAAAAGGTCTAGGTGAATTTGAGATCCTTTTAGCTCTGATGCATTTTCCCCTACTTTCAGTAGTTAAATCATTAGCCTTGACCTTGTCATCCTATGGACGTAGAAATTAATTCAACTCTCTAAGTACAGGTACTTTTCTATGTTACTTTTCTACCTGACCATATTATTTTATATGATGCTTGCAAGATGATCTTCTAATATGTTTATTCAGTGAGGCTCCCACTCATAACCTGAGTTGTTATTGTATTGGTGCCCTGCAATGATGTTAAATCGAGCAACGTAAATGAATATGTCCACTATGTGGTACTCTTATTCTTTGCTACTTGTTCACAAATTGTTTGATTGATGCTTGATGGAAAAAGCTATTGTTCCTGGACTGAATGAAGCTGAGATATTATCATAACTTAAACTTATATCAGTGAGATGTATAGAAATTTAAATGCTAATTTAGTAATTATTTATTTCTTGTGATATTGACATGCCTTCTCTGATTCTAATCTGCATGAAGTGTGATACAAGCATGGTGTTTCCAATTGTATGAGTGCTCTGAAGCAACAATTAGGTAGCTGGAGGTGGAGGCAAAGAGTTCACTCCAATTAGTTGTCACAGTTCGCCATTTTGTACATCTAGAGCTCTCTTAATATTGGAACAATATATATGTGGATAGCTCTTGTTGTGACCTTGTTTGCTCACCATTGTCTTTGAATCGACTATGAATTAGAATGCATAACTAAGCATGATGATAGTGATGCTGAATTTATTACATTAGAAGATATATAGGCTCGTGATAACTGAATATGGATGGCTGAATAACAGACGGTTACTCACTTTAGTTTGTGACTTGAAATATATCTCACGCATTGCACAAAACCTTGCATCTAATCTAACTATCATGTGCCTCTGAAAATATAAGAACACTTGACTGCCATGGGTGTGACTCATATCAGTTAGTATCAAAATTTAAATAACTAATTTACCTTCACATTTCCATCTGACTTGGGCTTCATATAATCTGTCATTTAGTGTTGGGCTGCATACCTTTTGCATCAGTACATAAGAATTCTGACATTCTTCGGATTGAATTTATTTCTAAACATCTAACAGAAGAGCTCAATGAAAAATGAATTCGATGCATACATCTCACTGCATAATGAGAAATTATGGTCTTTTCATTGTCTTTGTTTCTGCATCTTTCTCCAATTCCCTTAAAATCTTTCATGCTACTGTTTGACTATAACTTTTTCTTTTTCGTTCAGGTGTCACAACATTAATTAAGTAACTTTGGTTTGGCCACAAATGATGTGCTGAATTAGCATTTCTAAGAGAATGCACTCTATTATTTTGGTATGACTAACTATAGGAACGAGGTTTCACTAGCATGAATAATTTTTCCTGGTTGAACTACGTGATTGAATCCTTACCTGTAGTAGTTGGTTGTACCATGTAATTGGATCTTTATCAGTAGTAGTAGCATAACTAAGTCATGGAGCTCTGTATTTTGTTACTGGAGATCTGTTTATCTGGTTGCTAACTGGTAATAATATCTAAGATTTTTTTTCCTATATACTATACTTCATTCACTTCACGATGTCAATACGTGCCTGCTACTGATAGCTTCCGGTTAGTTGTGTTCTTGTGTATTCTAAGAATATATGATATTTAC